AAATCCTGAACATAGCCTCTCCGCTTGCAGGGATAGGGCTGCGTAAATTTACCCTCCCTAAACCTCACTAAGTGGGAGCCTCATGCACTAGGCCATCTTTTTTTTCATGTTGAAAGGAAAGAAATAAATTATTGAATTACATCTTAGTAAAAAAAATCAAATGAGACATAAGATAGGGAACATAGGGAGTAGTAAGCACCAGTTTGAGCCTTGAAGCATGGACGCATCAAACCCTCGTCTGTCACCACTTCATACAAGGGGTGTAGCATCTGAAAGAACTCTGGTTTTCTAGCTGAGACAATTACCTATCCACAGAAAAGAGCCATATCAATTAATGCAAGGTATATTTCATAATAAGACAAGGCTGTTATTTTGGGCAAGTTAATGAAGTGAATGTAGAGTATTTTCCATTCCTCCAAAGTTAAGAGAATAATGTTTTTGTAAATTTCTTCAAAAGGAAGACAAAGTAATTGTTAAGAACTTACAATGTCAAATATATCTCGCCAATCCATATCATTGGGAAGGAATCTATTAAAAGAATGTTGCATCATCTTGTTAGTATAATGATAATCTGAGTTGGTAATAAGCAGAAGTTTTTTGCCTGCCTGTTTCATGGAGACAACTGAGTAAGGACTCGAAAAGTATCACAGGTATGCAAAAATAATACATTAGAGTTAGTACCTCCTTCTGATCCAAAAGTGCCAAAGGTAATTGTGGATCAGGCTCCACAAACTGTTCCGGCTTAGACATGATCTCACTCTGCGTAAATTCCATAAGTCATTTGGTGCGTTTTATCATTTAACTATCATAGGGATAGAGGAAAAAGGCATCAACATTAATGTGTCCACCTTAAGGTGACCTTCTACATGTGTCTGGAAGACAGCTTCTCCTACAGCCTGAAAGATGTGCCAATGATAAAGAAAAATAACACCTCTAATTAAACATGATGTTAACAATTATTGCAATATTATTACCTTATAAAGCCCTTCATAATCAAGGGGACCAAGATCTGGTAGTATAGCTCCACCATCCAGTCTGTCAACCATCTGAAAGAAATTACACCCAATTAATTAAGTCTCATCTGAAAGAGGGTGAGCCTCGGCGCAAGGTCGCTGATGGGTTCAAATCCTGGAAACAGCCTCTCCGCTTGTGGGGGTAAGGCTATGTACATCGACCCTCCTCAACTCTCACAAGGTAGGAGCCTCGTGTATGGGCCACCCATTTTATAATCAGACATGATTACATTATATAAAAAATAACATCCTTATAAAAAAGTGGAAACGAGGTTATTTATGTTAATGACAAGAACCAGAGAGAGCAAGGAGCTGCCCTATGTTCAAACTTCAAACTTCACATCTTGCTATCTCTTTAACTCCTATTTGGACTTACTACATATTTGAAATTTGGAATGCATAGTTGGCCCATAAAGAGTCTATATGGGGAACTGAGCCAACTGAACTTTAATAACTTTCCTCTTACCCCATTAGGGTTCACCATAAAATGCTAACGATGACCAAATTTGAGACACCAACAAAACCCATATCCTAATGGAGAGATACGCAGAGGCCACATTAACTAAGATCAGAATATACCAAGATGGTTTGGGTTCAAATTCTGGTATCATCCAGACAACAAGAAAAACAAAGATCTTAACCTAAAGCTAAACATTATGACAAATTGGCAAAATATATTATGCTAATGAAAGTATAACGGTTTTAAACAGCAATTGCAATATACCTGCATGTAGGCCACAGCTAAAGACACAGAGAACAGTGTGTTGAGAAACACCCATCGACTCTCGTTTCGCAGATCCACCAGTTCCCTCCCATACATCTCACTTCCATCACATATAAAATAAAGTAGCACAACATAAACTATTACTCCAGTTTTGAATAAAATATTATATACTAGGCTATTAATAAGTATGTGTTTATGTGAACCACTACAAAGGCAGTGCTGCAAAGCAAACAATTAGGAAACAGACTAGCCATGTACTAACGTATAATGCACAGATCCAGGGTTACAATAATTGAAGCCTAAAGATGTATGTTTCGATAAGTTGATATAGAAAATGAGCAAAAGAAGCCTCTCCATGTATCTTCATTATCAGAATTCAAAATCACAAGGCCTGACATTTACCTTACAGCTCGAGTAGATAACATTTTAGTGCCATGCATGGCTCTTTGTATATAACTGAATCGATCTGCTTTAACCAAATTGCCTCTCTCTCTGTCTATGACAAGGCCTCTAATTACCTGGAATACAAAAATTACTTGGAGAAACAAGAGATAATATAGATTGCCAAATGCCTTCAGCTTGCCAGAGATAACATGTTACCAGGTCAGGATCAAATGCAAGTCCATCAACAGGGAAACCCCTATTCCTAAGCTTTTCCATACAGTAGTCATAAGCCCGGCCTTCCCAAGCCTGTAATAGCATACTGGCATATTAGAAAAGTCTACTTACCTGAATAGAGAAAAGCCTACAGTTCGGGGAACACAACAATGGAAAACTTCTATCATATTTAAATGACTTGAGCTACAACACCGATGATTTTTAACATACAAGCTTCAATCACATAGTAAGACAATACTTCATTATTTTATTTTGTAATCACATGGTAAAATGCAAGAACTAGCAAATATCAAAGATCAAGTGAGTATAAAGATCACTTAGAGTCAGTATTACCTAATGCTAAAATTACAAAGGTCTTGTACATTATAGATTTTGTTTATAAATGAGATGTATGATACAATTAAAAATTGAATGGAGTGAGTTATGTATACATCTGCAGGCATAATGGTTAAAATTATAGAAGTCCGTACAAACCATATGATATCACTAAAATGGAATAGATGTGTACCATCACATTATAATGGATCAGGGTATAGTCCATATCATATCCAATGGCACTAATTGATCTTAGGTTCAACGTACGGCTGCAGAATATTCCACGCGGTGAATTTCTGGATGAAGAAGGGCTCTGAACAAGGACACAAAAACATGTTATTTACATAATAATCATGAAAATGCATCCCAGCCAAATCCAAATAGAGAAGAGTGGGAAAAATTGAAGACATTCACTGTGCCAGTCAGAACAATTAGATCAAGAAATAAAAAAGTGATGATGGAACTAGTAATCCTTTGTGAAAAAGTTGATATTGATCTAACATGTTCAAATGCAAGGTTAACAATCCCATAAAAAGCATTATCTTCTAGGGACTTCATTGATACACTAATAAGTAAATGATAATACAAATATAATTAAATTACATCAACCTTTGAAAACATTATGAAACCTATCCAAACATCCGATCGGTATTCATTGAATACTAAGAAACACGAGACATATTTAATACAGGAGAAGCCTGTGAAATTTATAAACCTGAGGGGAATTACAGTAATCACATCATAACTTTTCACTCTGCGACTGCCAGAATATTAAGCATGCATGACACATCTTCACAAAAACAAACTTATAGAATATGCGATCTCCATCTATAATTTTGTTGAGAAGAGGATTTGATAGTGAGACATGCACCTACACAAGTACAGATGGTAGGATACCAGTAGATGCACTGTTAACACATTCATTCATCAGCTGATGGAATAGAACACACTGAAGTAGGCCACGAGTCCTTTTAAGCCAAAAATAATAAAAACTATAAAACGAGTAAATAAGCAAAAGGGGTAGGTTTACTTTACCGGAATACCCAGGTGTTTCAGTAAACCCTCTGCTTCTCTAGCCTCTGTTCTAGCCACTTCCTCAATTGGACCTTCTAATGCAGCATTGCCATCAATTCCTACAAGGGAGGAAGCCATATTTACCTTTTCAGCATAAGTTCATGACAGCCCTATTCAATAAAATAATGTCTTATATCTTCGTATTAACCTAAGAGAAATATTGCAAAGAACGTCAATAATTTGTGACAAAAGAAGTGACTGATAATAACAAAACAGATGTAAGTTCTTTTAAAATGAGAATGTGCATTGTGCAACAGAGTTCAATGTCACATTCCTATGAGCAAAGATGACGACGGGCTCATTGTTAAAATGGTAGGAGTCATGCAAGAAGCTTTCTTGATTAACAAAAAAGATGAGAAAAGACATGCATGAATGAGAAAAAAAACTTTAAAGAAAGCTAAAGAAAGCTTTAAAGAAGGCTAAAGAAAGCTTTAAAGAAAGCTAAAGAAAGAATGGAGAATCAAGACTCCATTGAAATGAATGAAGTTCTCATTATTGAATGCATGGATGAAAATGAATGAGATGAAGTGAGTGAATTACAAAGATTCTGGGTATGACCCTTTATATACAACTCTTACTAACTCAAGTATCACAACTAACAAATTGAAAGCATTACTCCTTTCAAAGGGATTTCCACATATATCTTCAACAGAACAATAGTATTTGGTGTGTGAACAAAACAAGATGGAATGTGTTGTTCTGTTCTCTAATTCTTCTAAAGGGTATAGCCAAAATATTTTACTTCGATTTTATCCTATTCTTCTATTTATAACAGAAAAGACTTCATACATTACGTTCCGTCTTGATGTTTAAAAAAACACTACATATTGAGCCTAGAAACACGAGTTGATGAAGCTCTTCAAGTAATGTAACACAAACAATAAAGAAAGTATTAAAGTATAATGAAAAAAAAATGATTTTGAAGAAAAAAATTAGACCAAAAGCTTGAAGATGCTCCAAGTTGAGATTCAAATCCCCTTTAGTGCTTTGGCCAAGGTAGTCCACGTCAGACTCATTGGGTGGCGTGACTGAAAAAACGTCACCATGAACGGAATTAGTCTTGGCGAAGAACCCCATATTATTCTTCACCATGTTTCGAAATGTGGGTATCGTAAAAGTTTGGTTTTTGAAGTAGTTGTTGTTGGCGGAGGAGAGAGAAAGAAGTATTACCTCCTCCGTGTACAGCGGAAGAGGTGGTGGTTCAATTGATGAAAATGAAAGTAAAGGACAATTTAATTGAGGACCCAATACCATGTAATGGGTGAATTTATAGTATAATTAGTTAGAATTTGTAAAGTTTTATTTAAGTGATTTTTGTTCAAACTGATTTTGAGTTGTTTGATAATCAACTTAAAACTTATATTATTAATATATTTGAATTTGTTTCTTTAAAATATCTATAATATTTAAGATAAATTGGTTGAAAGTGGAAGTCATATTATCAATTAATAAAAAATATAAAAAGTAAATGAAGATATAAAATTAAAAGCAAGCATTGATATATTATATGAAATTAAAATATATTATTATATTGCAAAATTTTGAAACATTAAAATATATTACATAACAATTTAATAGAATTTTTTGTTGCAAGTTGTATCACTTCTTGAATATATAATATAGATAAAAGTATAATATAAGTTACACTCAATAAAAGAAAATTCTAATTTTCTAAAATAACAAAGGATGTTTTTTTGTTCCTATCCCTACAATGCATGTAAATCAAAAGTGATAACAGATGAGTTTGATTCCTCTCCTATAATGAAGAAGCTAATGGAGAGCTCATATTTAAAATTGTATTAGTTTAATTTTAAAAAAAAAAACATGAAATCAAGGTTTCTCCATCTTCACTATGAACCATCTAGAAACATATCACGATTAACACTATCTCTTTGTGCAGATCCCTTCGCTCTCCATTCTAATTTATAGGTTTGTAATTCTTCTTTTTCTATTAACACCCTTACTTATTTTATTTTATATTTTAATGTTCAGATGTAGCTGTTTTACAGATTCAAATTGAAAACCAATGGAGGTGTCTTTATATGATGTTAGAGAAACAGATAGAGAAGGACAAACCTTCTGCTTTGATATCAAATACAGTGGCGGTGCTACCTTCTCCGGTAGTGCTACCTTCTCCGGTAGAGAGTTGATCCAAATTTTTGTTTCTGTGTGGTTCATAGTGAAAATGGAGATGAAGAAGCCATGAGAGAGGAGTGAGACCTTCTCATTTCATGTCTTTCTATTCTTTTTTTAAATATTTCATTAGAATTATTAATCTATTTAAATATCTCACTCTTATACTATTTGAACTTATCTATACAATATATAATATTTTGTTTAACTTAATTATGATTACCGTATATTTATATATCATGTAGGAGTAGTTCATATAATATATAATATATGTTATGTGTATAATTTTACTAAAAAAAAGTAAAAATAGAGATATGCAATTTAGGGATTTTTAATCACTAAAAATAACCTTTATCATTAGGCTGATTTTGGTCCTTATGGTCAACGGAATTTTTGTATGATTGACTTCTGTCCTTATTTGAGATGAATTCGGCCTATTCATTCAGTTCCATTGCTCTTCTGAGTGAGTAAGTAGTAGATGCAATAACTACTTATGATTCTGATGCTATTGAAACTGATGGAGGATGATGAGGCAAGTAGAGGAAGAAACAGATAGTGCTGATCTTGGAGGTGGATGGGGCACAATTGTGAGAGGAGAGGCTCACAGGCCACAATCAAGGTGTATGAATCGGATAAAGATCTGTTGTCTCAAACATTGTCTCGGACTAAACATTTATTTTTTTAATTGTCACGACTGTGTAATGTTCCTAGCACTAATGAACACAGTTTATGCTAAAACTACATATATTTCAATCAAATATACCTTACTTGACTAATGGCACAATAATTGTTTAGCAAGTTATGTACAATTACATTAAGTCACAATATGAATCTTCGTTGTACATCGTTAGCTGTCATGTACATTCCTATTCATAATTTTTTGGGTGAATAATGATATTATATATTTGTATTGCATAGCTCGTGTGTTTTTTCCTTGTGGGTATCCTTCCTTTTCTCCCCTTTAAAACGATAGAGTAGCAAAGGACAAAAACAAAGTCAGTGTAAGCATAATTAAAGAGTCATATATATATCCAATGCCAATAGCACATGGTTACCATTGCAACCTTAAAAGCTACTATTGCAAGCTAACTTGAAAAGATAATCATGCCCTTAACTACACTGTTTAACCCAAGTGTAATATCGAAGATTGAATAATACTGAAGTGTGACTTATAGTTAGCTTGCAATAGTAGGTTATTGTGCCAACTTGGTTCCATCAACCTTATAGTTTTCCTTCATTTCTCTATTGCTGCTTTTTAGTGCTAATTTGTCATCATTCAGGTTGGAAGCATTTCTTCAGTCACAAGTTTGCTAAAGGTTCGTTTTTGCTTTTACTTTTGTTATAAAATAGCAATAACAAGAACATGTTACATGGTAAGGAACACCTTTGTTTATATAAATAGACACACACACACACATTGGTTCTGTATGTGCTTTGATTATAAATGTTTGTTTTGCAAGTCCACCTTGCATTTTACTTCTATTCCAGGCCTATTCTGGTTTCACTGGTAACTATTTTTTCTTTCACTCTATTGTTAAATATGGTTAAATCACTTCAGTGGTGATTTTTTTATGGAAAAACTAACTCTACCTTAAATCACTGATCCTACTTTTGCAGCTATTTTTAAGTAGTGTTTGTAACCAGTAGAGGCCTTGCTTCTCGGAAATGGCCACCGAGGCCAGCTTGGACGATGGTACTAATCCAAGTGAGATGATAGGATCAGCAAGTAATCCTCAAGTTCCAGGCCCTGACAATACTCAAGAAATGAAAAGGAGGCTGCAGGATTCGAAGACAAACAAGGAGAAGGAAGGAAGCAAGAAAACGGTTTCGTTCTATAAGCTTTTCTCATTTGCGGATTCTTGGGATCATCTATTGATGTTTATTGGGACAATAAGTGCTGTTGCGAATGGAATATCATTCCCTCTAATGACTATAATTATTGGAGATACAATTGATGCTTTTGGAGGAAATGCTAACACTACACAAGTAGTTCATGAAGTTTCCAAGGTAATGAATAATGGTTCCTCATCATTATGAATCAATGTTGTAAAATATCTATGGGAAAGATATAAACTATATAAAGTTTGATGGGAACAATTTGTCATAATCCATAATGGTTCATTTTATGCTCAGGCATCTCTGAAGTTTGTATACATGGGTGCTGGTGCCTTCGTGGCAGCGTTTTTGCGTAAGTACCAAATTCTCTCCTCATTATGCATATAATGTAACTATAAATCTAATTTTGGCTTAATCTAATTCATTATTCTAGAGGTTTCTTGTTGGGTGATCACTGGGGAGAGACAAGCTGCAAGAATAAGAGGCTTATACCTCAAAGCAATTTTGAGGCAAGACGTTAGCTTCTTTGACAAGGAAACTAACAGTGGCGAGGTTGTTGGAAGGATGTCAGGTGACACAGTTCTTATTCAAGATGCCATGGGTGAGAAGGTATTAATGGATCACAATATAAGTCCTAATTTAGCACCATTTCATCTAACTACGATGAAACATATGTTTAAGAATCATAACCTTTTCTTTCTCCTCTTTGGGTGATGTTAGGTAGGAAAGTTCATACAGTATGTCGCAGCATTTTTAGGAGGTTTTGTCATAGCATTCATCAAGGGATGGCTTCTAAGCTTTGTCTTGCTATCTTCAGTTCCACCACTAGTCTTCGGTGGTTATCTAATGACCTTTGCTTTTGTAAAGATGGCATCCCGTGGACAAGCAGCGTATTCTGAGGCAGCAACTGTAGTAGAGCGTACAATTGGATCAATTAGAACTGTAATACTAATACAGTCAATCTTCAGAAATAACTTCTCATTGTTTTTATTTTTCATGTAGCACGAGGGTACCATAAAGGACACTATACATTCTTTCAATGCAGGTTGCATCATTTACCGGTGAGAAACAAGCTATAGCTCAATACAACCGATCCTTGATCAAAGCTTACAGGATTGGTGTGCAAGAGGGAGTGGCTGCTGGTTTTGGCCTTGGTTCACTTCGCTTATTTGCTTATAGTAGTTATGGGTTGGCCATATGGTATGGAGGGAAGATGGTACTAGAGAAAGGATATACAGGAGGTGAAGTCATAAGTGTATTTTTTGCACTATTGACTGGATCCTTGTAAGTTAGTTTCTCCCTTACTATCTAAATTCTTGATGCATCATTCTATATCTTACACCCCTCCTAACTTTCCACCTGCTACCATATTTGCAAAACAAACATACATGATAAATTAGATAAACATCGCATTTCAAGGTAATCTTATTTTTCAGGTCACTGGGGCAGGCATCTCCAAGCTTAACTGCTTTTGCTGTGGGGCAAGCTGCAGCCTTTAAAATGTTTGCAACAATAAAGAGGCAGCCAGATATTGATGCTTATGAGACCGATGGTCGTCGATTAGATGATATTGATGGAGATATAGAATTTAAGGAGGTTTGTTTTTGTTATCCTACAAGAACAGATGAATTGATATTCAATAGATTTTCTATTTCAATATCAAGTGGCACTACTGCAGCTTTGGTAGGACAAAGTGGGAGTGGGAAGTCAACAGTTATTAGTTTGATACAGAGATTTTATGATCCACAAGCTGGTAAAGTTCTCATTGATGGTATCAACCTCAGAGAATTTCAACTGAAATGGATCAGACAGAAAATAGGCCTGGTCAGCCAAGAGCCAGTTCTCTTTGCTTGTAGCATTAAGGAGAATATTGCATATGGTAAGAATGGTGCAACAAATGATGAAATCAGAGCTGCTGCAGAACTTGCTAATGCTGCTAAATTCATTGATAAATTTCCTCACGTGAGTTCTCAGTTCTTCACTCATTTTGAGATTATCAGTTTCTTGCCTCAAATTTTGAAATGTTCTTTCCCTTTTTCAACAATATCAATTTAAGTTTCTTTTAACAATTTTCTAATGTGTGTCCAAACACATTTCAACTTATTATAAAAGAGTAAATTTGTATTGGAAATTGATGAACAAATACTTATTGATAGACATGAACTTTATAAATGTGTCTATGTTTAATACAAATGTGCCCTTTTTAAATAAGTTAAATTGTATGTATGTCAAGATACATATAGGCCTAAAAGAAGCAAGTAGTCTCAAAAAACCATATATATTCTAAGGTACACTGACTGAAATATACAAAATTGAAATGGAAGTAACCACAATTTTTCTAATCATAATTATAATGTATACTATTCTATGTGTATGTGTTCACTCTAAGTGGCCCTTTTACCTCATTAGGGGCTTGACACAATGGTCGGAGAGCATGGAGCTCAACTTTCTGGAGGTCAAAAGCAAAGGGTTGCTATAGCAAGAGCAATTCTGAAAGACCCGAGAATTCTACTCCTTGATGAAGCTACGAGTGCTCTAGATGCTGAATCTGAGAGAGTAGTGCAAGAGACACTGGACAGAATAATGATAAACAGAACAACTATCATTGTAGCTCACCGCTTAAGCACAATAAGGAATGCTGACATGATTGCTGTTATCAACCAAGGAAAAGTAGTAGAGAAAGGTATACACATAACTCACATACATCTTCCTTTTTCCTATAAATGTGCTTTGCAGCATTCTTATATCTTTTTAAACTGAGTAGGTTCTTATGCTGAGCTCACCGAAGAACCTGATGGAGCTTTTAGCCAGCTCATTAAATTACAAGAAATTAAAATAGAGTCAAAACAAAATGGTGCTAATGAATCATGCAGTCAAGAAAACTTTGTAGATTCAGTACAACAATTGAGCCAAAGGTTTTCTTTAAGTCGCGGATCATCTGGAACTGGAAACAGCAGTAGTCACTCGTTCAGAACATCAAATATTATGCCTACCAAATTTGCTCTATTGGAAACATCAAAAGTTCTTCCTTCAGCTGCATTACATAAACCTCCAAAAGTCTCATTTCTCCGCCTAGCTTATCTTAACAAACCTGAAATCTCAGTGTTACTCATAGGGACTCTAGCAGCAGCAGTAACTGGGGCAATATT